TTTACCTCTGTATCTGCTCTGATATATTTCAATGAAAGTGAGAACACTTGAGAGTTATCACTATAGTACCTGCTTGTACTAGTGACCCTCTTTACTCTAAATAGTCTAATATTTGGAAGCCTCATTACCAATTTAATCTTGTAATAAAGAAGAGTAAGTTTTTATTTCAATCCAGGTACTGTTTTCTGGTGAAGAAGAAATAGTATTCGTACCTCCACGCCAACTTCATTATCATCAGTTTCAAGTGCAGGCTGTTGGAACGATCCTGCTGTTATTTCCTACCACCTTCTCGCTCAGGAGAGGAGAAAGTAAAGGGGAATTAGGGAAAGTGTGAGCTGACATTGTTTTTCACTTGGCCTGTGTCACCTTGTTCAGTCCTCAAAATAAACAATAAAAAATAAAAAAAACTTCATGAGCTGATATTTGTCCCCCAAGTTACATGTGACAAAGTCATCATGTGTGGGTTTACATACTTACCTAAGTGAAACTGAGTGTAGGAAAGATGGGGGGCCGTCGATTCGGATTTGAGGTGTAAATCTCTGCTTTTTCACTTGAACAAACTGTTTCACTTTGGGCAAGTGACTAAGTGTCCCTGATCCTTGGGTTCCTTGACATGTGAAGTATGAATAATAGTAATATTTAATGAAGAGTGTTGTGAGAATTAAAAGGGATAACTGATGCAAAGTATCCAGTATACATGTTTGACACATAGTTGTTATTCCAGAAATAGCAACTGTTAATAGGATCAGTAGTATTCCCCAGTTTTCAAGTAGTAGAAAGAATTATATGACATGAAATGTAAAGATAGTGCTGATTCTATAATTAGTTTCTTTATGATATTATTGAGTGTATTTTCTATGCTGTACATTACATCCCCATGACTTATTTTATAACTAAAAGTTTGTACCTCTCAATCCCTTTTCTCTTTTTTGCCCTTCTCCACACTGTCCCCGCCGCCCCCCGCCCAGAAACTATCAGTTTGTTTTCTGTATCTGTGAGTCTATTTCTGGTTTGTTTGTTCATTTTGGTGGTGGTTGTCTTTTTCTTAGATTCCATACAGAAGTTCAAATCATACAGCATTTGTCTTACCCTTTCTGACTTATTTCACTAGCATAATGCCCTTCTAGGTTCATCCATGTTGCCATAAATGGCAGGATTTCATTCTTTTTTTGTGTGGCTGAGAAATATTCCATTGTATATGCCACATCTTCTTTATTTTTTCATTAACTGATGGACACTTCGGTTGATTCCATGTCTGGGCTGCCGTATACACGGCTGCAGTGAATATGGAGTGCTCCTATCTTTTCGGGTTAGTGCTTTCATTTCCTTTGGGACAAATACCCAGAAGTGGCGTTGCTGGGCCGTGTGGTCAGTCTGTGCTGATTTCCACAGTGGCCGCATCAATTTGCATGCCCACCCACAGGGCGCAGTGTTCCCTCTTCTTCACATCCTTACTAACACTTGGTATTTGTCGTCTTTTTATAATAGCCATTATGACAGGTGTGGAGTGACATCTTATTGGGGTTTTGATTTGCATTTCCCTGATGATTAGTAATGTCGAGCATCCGTTCATGCATCTGTTGGCCATCCATGCGTCTTTTTTGGAAAAATGTCTTTTCAGGTATTCTGCACATTAAAAACAATTTTTTTATGTTGAAATGTATGAGCACTTTATAACTTTGGGTATCAACCGTTGCAAATATCTTCTCCCTTTCAGTAAGTTGTCCTTCCATTTTGTTGATGATTTCCTTTGTCCAAAAACTTTTTAGGTTGATATAGTCCCATTTATTTATTTTTGCTATTATTGCCCTTTTCCTAGGAGACATATCAAAAAATTTCTTTCTAAGACTGACCTAAAAGACTTTATGGCCAATGTTGTCTTTCAGGAGTTTTATGGTTTCAGATCTTAAATGTAAGTCTTTAATCTGTGTTGAGTGTATTTTTTTATATGGTATAAGAACATGGTCCAGCTTAATTTTTTTGCATTTATCTGTCCAGTTTTCCCAACACTATTTATTGAAGAGACTGTCTTTTCCGCATTGCATATTCCTGCCTCCATGTTCTCAGGTTAATTGACCATATAAACATGGGTTAATTTCTGGGCTTTGTATGCTGTTCCATTGCTCTACATATCTGTCTGTGTTCTAGTATCATGCTGCTTGATTCCTATAGTCTTTGTAATAGAGATTGAAATCCAGGAGCATGATACCTCCAACTTTGTTCTTCTTTCTCAAGATTGCTTTGGCTATTTGGGGTCTTTTGTAGTTCCATATATATATTTAGGATTGTTTTTCTTTGTTTTTTTTTTTTTTAATTTTAATCATTAATGTATTTTTTCCATTACCATTTAGTTCCCTTATATCTCCCTCCATTTCAGACATCACGATACTGTTGTCCATGTCCTTGAGTTCTTTTTCCTTTTTGCGCAATCCCTCCATTCCCTAATGTCCCCCTCTCCCACTAGCTGTGATCTGCTCTCCATCAATGAGTCTGTCCCCATTGTTCTAAATTCAGTGATAAAGACCATTGGTATTTTGATAGGAATTACACTCACTCTGCAGATTGCTTTGGGTAGTGCGGACATTTTCATGATACTAAATTTTTCAATTCATGAGCACTGTATATCGTTCCATTTATTTGTGTCGTCTTTAGTTTCTGTCATCAGTGTCTTATTTGTTAAATTTATTACTAGGTGTTTTATTCTTTTTGATGGAATTGCAAATGGCATTGTTTTCTTTATTTCTCTTATTGATAATTTATTGGCAGTGTACAATAACACCATAGATTTCTGCATATTAATTTTATATCCTGCAAACTTTGCTTAATTCATTTATTCTAGTAGTGTTTTTGGTGGAGTCTTTAGGGTTCTGTATATAAAGTATCATCTGGAAATAGTGAGTTTTAGTTCTTACTTTCTAATTTGGATTTCTTTTTTTAAATCTGGTTACCGTGGCTAGGACTTCAAATTATAACTAGCTTCCTTTTTAAAAACAGTTTACTTTAATTTCAGCCTCCATTAATGGAAGATGGCCAGTTTATAGGTTAATCAACAAATGAATTCTATCTTTGGGAAATTATGGGCAATTTTGATCTTTACCAAACCCTTTACAAAATTATCTGAAGGAAAACAAGACTTACATAGCACAAGAGATTTTTTCTAGTTTTACAAAGAATTATATTTTGTCTGCTGATCTATATACATATATTTTCTCTTAATTATAAGCCACTATAGAAATTCATCAGGTACTTCATCACTCAAGTATTTATTGAAAATCTGTTATATATGTACTCAACACCATACTGTGTACAAGGACATATGTGTACACAAAAGGGAGATATATCTTTAAGATGTATGACCTAGTTGCTCTTATTCTTTCATTCATTTATTTAGAATTGTCATCATCATTGGTTTGCTCCAATAATCACAAAATGCAGAACTGCATTACATTGTACTGAATAGTAAGCAAACAGTCCGGTTATTTACATTGGAGGCAGAACATTTGTTTTCTTCTGTGGACAGGTATTGTTGATGCATTCTGGAACGCTGTGGTCATAGCAGGGGAGACTAGTGTTAAGAAGGATATGACATACTTGGTTGTCTCTGTTGTGATTTTATTACCAATTAAAATGCCATGGTTTGCGTGTGATTGTGATACTGCCTACAGGCTCTTTCTTCTCATTAGCATTCCTACTCTAACCAAGAATGAAAGCTCACGTGCTATGCGCTTTCCTTTTAGAAGGGTGTGAAAGAGGTGAACTGATTTACATTTGGTGAAGGCACTGGGAAAGCTGCATCACCATCTTTCTGTTAGGGCTTCTGTTCTTGCTGTTTCAATTATGCTGCCTTCAGTGGACTGTGCTAAGGGTTGAGTTTCTTTTTTTTCCCAGCATGTGCTCCTGTTGCAACATTTTATTAAATGATTGACATGTTTTGATCAGCAAAAAACTTTCCTTTGAGGCTTTGATTATAATTGTAAAATCTGTTTTTATTTAACTGTGCTAGGAACTTCTGATGCATTTAAAAATATGATTGCCTAAAACAAAATGTATACAGATGAGTATTTATCAAGGAAAAATCTTTAAGATTGCATTAACTTCTTGGTTTTGGTCTGTTATATCAACAGTTAATGTATAATATTGACACATAATATTTCTGATGTTTTCCCTAATAGTTAAACATAGATTAACTATTACTATATTATTATTATTTTCATATATTCTCTGTAAAGTTATATTTTATGATTTCATGTTAATTGACTAGGAGACTATAAGCTGTAAGTTGTTTACTACTGTTGGTCAGAAATTATAATATGGTAATCTTTAGGATTAATTTATGTTATTAGTTGCTATTGGACAAGAGTAATTTTTCTAGTCCTTTTAAAATTATTTAATTGCATATTGAAATAGGCATATTTCCATAAGCAAACAGGAATGTTATTTAAATTCAAAAGAAGACAGTATAAGATACTGATTTGTATGCAAAAAGTAGCATTATTTCTGAAATTCTATCTAAAAGATACCATCTGTGAATTTTTAAAAATAGTTGAGCAGTCCTGACTTGTGTGGCTCAGCGGACTGAGCGCTGGCCTGAGAACCAAAGGGTTGTCAGTTCGATTTCCAGTCGGCACAGGCCTGGGTTGCGGGCCACATCCCCAGTAGGGGGCGCGTGAGAGGCAACCACGCATTGATGTTTCTCTCCCACTCTTTCTCCCTCCCTTCCCCTCTCTCTAAAAATAAATAAGTCTTTAAAAAAAATAGTTGATCAAGAAACAAATATTCCTGCACATATTCATTTATATAGTAAATTTTATTATACACTTAAGGCTGTTGTAGGTGTTAGGGTCTCTTTTATGTATCCTTAGTATTATTATTGTGTTAACATATGCCATGGTTACACTTATTGTTGCATACAGATATTTTTAAATGGAGTTTTAAAAATTGATAATCCCATCAAAAGTTATCTTAATATATGTTTATTTAATTTGGTTTGGTTTTTGCAGAGCGCCCTCTTCACTACACAGAGAACGTGTTGGAGCAGGTGCTTCGGTGGAGTTCACTTGTTGACCCTGGCTCTGCGTATCTGGTGGTGAAGAGATTCTTAACCACTGACACAGTCAAACACTATCATGGTAGGTGCTCTCATTTCACATTGCAGCTATGGTGGAAAATTCAAGTGGTTCAGGACAATTAGCATGGTAGCATAGCACAAGTGTTATTTGCAAATGTTAAAAAATAAAAATAAGTAGCTACCTAGTATTGCACAGTAGAAAGGAAAATACATACAGCCCTGGCTGGTGTGGTTCAGTGGATTGAGCGCCAGCCTGCTAACCAAAGGGTCGCCAGTTCGATTCCCAGTCAGGGCACGTGGCCTGGGATGCAGGCCAGGTCCCCAGCAGGAGGTGTGCGAGAGGCAACCACACACTGATGTTTCTTTCCCTCTCTTCCTATCTCCCTTCCCCTCTGTCTAAAAATAAATAAATAAAATATTTTTTAAAAAAGAAGAAAAGAAGAATGCATACATACACAGGAGTACCCAGTGCCAGGGCCCAGTTTCCTGGAGCACAGCACTGTGGCAGTGGTGGGCTAATCTGATGGTCCCAAGTTGAAGTTTTTGGAAGGAATGGTTTACATTTTTAAGGGCTTTTTGCCATGCCTATATGTTTTTCTAATTTTTAGATAGCTGGTGAAACTTCTTCCAAAATTATGAAAGTTCTCTGGGTATTTAAGAAGTGTCAGTTATATAAGCTCTGAGATTGATTGCTTGTTATACTTCTCATTTTGTTGATATTGGAAAACAAGTATAAAATAAAACATTTCCTTTAAGGATACTTGCCATCTAGCTGTCAGGCACGTACACTATGTCCGATTAAATAAGAAACTAGCTAGCACAGGGAGACTGGAGAAGACAGTCTCTGAACCTGTATGAGATACCAGAAATTTTTATCTTAAAACTTTGATTCTTCTGCTGTGTTGCCACTAACTGACAGGTCAGAAAAAGATTTTCCACCAGTTATGTATATAAAACAACTTCAAACACAAAGAATTCAGGTTTTATAGGGTGAATTTTACGACAACTTTAATAATTAATAATAATGGTAACCATTATTTATTAATCATATATTAACTGAGCCCTGTGAATATATTATTACTATTATATAACAATGTAAGAACATTAATTAATCATTCACTGAGCTCTGTGCACACAAAATGTCATTTAAACTTTTTAAAATATCTTTGTGTTATATTGTGATTTGAATTTTACAAATTAAGAGAAGCTCAGAGAAACGAAGTAACCTGCCCCACCCAGATCATAGCTAATAAATATGGGATTTGAAAAGAGATTTATCTTCTAATTATTAAAAAATAAAAGATAGGGATGTTAATACATCTAATAAAAGCTGTAAACCTACTACTTAATATGATTGCAGGCCCTCCGGCCTACATCCATAGGTCAGTATGTTCTAAATTCTACCTCAGCTAATCTGATAAATGTCTGGTTTCATGATGCTGTCTTCACCTCTGTAACGATGGTAGACTGGCTGGTGTGTAAACAACAGAAGTTTATTTCTCGTAGTCTGGAGACTGGGAACCTGAGATCAGGGCGCCAGCAGGGCGTCAGCAGGGTGTCTCTGTGAGACCTGTGTCCAGATCGCAGACTTCTCGGTTTGTGTCATCACGTGGTGGGGAGCAGAGACAGGAGGCCAGCTCTCTGTGACTCTCACAAGGCACTTGTCCCACTCGGGGACCCCGCCCTCCTCTTGCCATCCCATTGGGAGGCCGTGGGAACCGCAGTGTTCAGTCCTTAACACTGTTCTTTACATCTTTATTTCACATGAAAATATTTTCACAACATGCAAGCAATGTAACAATGTCTATGTCATTCTTGTCTGACTAGGACCTAAACAAATAGAACAGATGTTATGCTTTTTGCTGTAGAAATTTATCCTTTTAGAGATTTTTTTAGATTATTTTCTTTGATACTCCTACTTATGATTTTGACCACATCATCCCTATACCTCTATTCATGTGAATTCAATGTGCATCCATGTCACAGAGCAGTGATTCTCAGGTATGGGGCAATTTTGTCCCCCAGGGAACATTTGGCAATGTCTGGAGACATTGTCTGGAGTGATTGTCACAACTGGGTAGGGTGGTACTCCTGGTACTTAGTGGGAAGGCACCTGAAATGCCACTAAATGTCCTTCAACACACAGCATAGGTCTTCACAAAAAATGATTGGGCCCAAAATGTCGGTGGTGCCCATGCTGAGAATTTCTGATTTAGATAATCCGTGAAATCTGTTCAAGTTCTTAAATTCTGTATTCTTTCATTTTAACACTGAGATAAGGAAAAAGTATTGAGCTTATGAAAAGTACTGTCAACATTATGAAATACATATATCTATATATAAATAGATTCTCATGGTTTCTTTTAGAAAATAAGTCAACTTATTTTCAGGTAAATTTTTATTTTTCTGGTGAGAATTTTCCTTTTCCTTTATCTAATATTCCTCCAAATGTCTAATTCTGCGTGTTGCAAAATATTGAAACCCCACCTAGACATAATATCTCAGCTTTTATTTGAATGCTAGTAGGCTGGCTATGTGAATAAAAATGACAAAAATAAGATTCTAAAAATCTGTGATATTAAGGTAAGTTTCGTGCAGGTGGGATGTAGAATAATCCAAACAGAAATACCATTAAGTGCTGATGATCTTTGGTGGGGGGAGGAGGAGGGGAAGCAAAGATTGAGCAGGGTGAGAACAACCGCATCGAGTAAAATATTCATGCTGTTCAAAGACAAGAAGAAATGGTAGAGTGACAGGCTGAACATGGGCACAAACTGGGCAGGAAGACCGGGCATCGCAAAGATGCCTCAGGTGTTCTTGTCATCTTTATGGGGTTCCGAGTATGTTCTGCTGCGAAAGCATCAGGCTTCTGTAAGGTCTAGACGAAGCATCTTACGTAAGAACTGGAGAGTCCAGGCAGTGGAAAGCAGTCTTAAATGATCATTTCGGGATTTGGATGAAACTCTAGAGTAAAGTGTCACTAACTTTTGAGTTACTCTAATGCTGTCTTCATTTTCCCAGCCGGCTGGGAGTTATCCCTGCACTATTCCTACCTCAGTTTGTCAAACCAATATGCAAACTGTTATAATATCTATAGTTTTTTTCTACAAGGAAATTGTCTCATTGCATGAAAAAAATCAGGCTTTTAGAGTAACACTGTCAGCAAATACATTAATTGGCCCATTGCATATTAGTAGTTACGTATTTTGGTCAAAAATAGGAGTACCTGTGAAGTAAATATTTGAAAAACTTTTTTTGAGTTCTCTGGCCAATAAAATTTTTATAAATGTTTTTAATTAGAGTTTGATTTATATTTAGATTGTCAAATCAAAATAATCTCTTTCATTATGGTCTGTTCTGCATCTGTATGAATTTAGGAATACCTTCTAAATCAGCTCTGGCCTGCTGTTTGTTGTTTTAAATGAATTTCTTAAATCATGATTTTTTTTCCCTGTAGTTGTGTCTTGCAGCTTATGAGGGCCAGACACAACTATACATGATGCTTATAAGTACTTTTTATGGGATATGCTTTGTGATAGATTTTAGGCTGGTTAGATATTCAGTCTACTTTGTCTCTGTCTTGGCAAATGTCTTCTAAATCAATCACAGTGACCACCTACTCCAAAATTATTGCTCCATTCAGTGTATCCACTACTCCTTAAAACTGGGATCTAAAATGAAAGTAAATCAAATGTGATTTCTCTGTCAATTTGTTAGAAAAATTGGAGTCATCTTAGAAATACATTGCTCTTCATAACAGAAAGAGAACAATGTTAAAGATTTCTTTCACTTAAGATTTTCTTATTCTATCCTGGGGCCCAGTGGAAATTAGCTGAGTTTGAAACAAGGGCGGTTGGTTGCAACAATATTTTCTCTTAGTAATAAATATCTCCTGTTAATATTTTTTGAAACATAAAGTAGAAAACTCCCAGCACACAAAAGCCCAGGACTGGAAGCCTTCACGGGCGAATTATACCAAACATTTAAGGAAGAACTAACTCCTGTCCTTCTTAAACTATTACAAAAAATTCAAGAAGAGAGAAGGCTCCCAAACTCTTTTTATGAGGCCAGTATCATCCTAATTCCAAAACCAGGTAAAGACAACAAAGAACAAAAACTACAGACCAATATCTCTGATGAACATGGATGCTAAAAAGCCTCAACAAAATAATGACAATCCAGATTCAGTAATACATTAGAAAGATCATACACCATGATCAAGTGGGATTCATCCCAGGGATGTAAGGAGGGTACAATATTCGCAAATCAATAAACATAATACATCACATAAACAAAATGAAGGAAAAAAATCACATGATCATATCAATAGATGCTGAAAAGGCATTTGATAAAATCCAGCACCCATTTATGATAAAAACAGTCAGCAAAGCAGGAATAGAGGGAGCATATCTCAACATAATAAAAGCTATATACAAGAAACCTACAGCCAAAATTATATTCCATGGGAAAAAACTAAAAGCTTTCCCCTTAAGAACAGGAAGAAGATAAGGGGGTCGGCTTTCACCACTCTTATTCAACATAGTACTAGAAGTTCTAACCACGGTGATCAGACAAGAAAAAGGAATAAAAGACATTCAAATTGGAAAGGAGGAAGTAAAACTATCCTTTTCACAGATGACATGATAGTGTACTTAGAAAACCCTACAGTCTTCACAAAAAATCTGCTCAACCTAATAAGTGAATTTGGCAAAATGATGGAATACAAAGTCAATATTCAGAAATTGGTGGCATTTTTGTACACCAACAGTAAAATATCAGAAAGAGAAACTAGGAAAAATATCCCATTTACTGTAGCAGCAAGAAAAATAAAGTACCTAGGAATAAATTTAACCAAGGAGGTAAAAGACTTGTACTTGGAACACTATAGAACATTGAACAAAGAAATTAAGGAAGATACAAATATATATACCATGTTTACGGATTGGAACAATTAACATCATTAAAATGTCCATACTACCCAAAACAACGTATAGATTCATTGCAATTCCTATTAAAATACCAATGGCATATTTCACAGATCTAGAACAAATACTTCAAAAA